CGCTCCCCCCCCTCCTTTTCCCACCCTCCCAAAGGTTCATCCCCCCCAGTTTTGTTCAATAAACCCAGTTTCTATTTTTGAACAGACGTGTCTTTTGTTTGACATCAGGAAGGAGGCCTAGGGAGGAGTAAGTGGAAGGACATGAGGGAGGAATGGGACATGAGCCCTTGGTGGGGAGGACCGGGGTGGCTCTGAAGGCTCCTCGGGGTAGACGCTCTCCTGCAGGGCCTCTTGGATCCTGACAGCCCCCTAATGGACCCCCTGGATGGCAGCCTGCAGCAAGTGCACCCGGGCTGATGGCAACGACCCCACAAGACGCACCGGCGTGCGCAGGGGCAGCTCTGGCGCCATGTGGCTGAGTGCTATGGTGTCCCGAGTGCGGGCACTCAGGGCACGCCAAGACAGGACTGCTTTGCTGTCCCTCATCGAGGTAGACAAGCAAGTGGGGAACCCTGAGAACTGTCTGTCCAGGGTAGGGGTAGGGTCCCTTTAAACACAGAGCTCAGTTAGCCTCAGGCAGTAGCCCCATACACTAAGACCTAACCTGATGCCCTGCTGGCACTACTTCCGGCAAAGCCTTAACTTCGGTTCAGGGTCCACTCAGTGTGGACACACTATTTCGAAATAGCAAAACACTATTTCAAAATAGTTTTTGTGTATAGATGCGTTATTTCTAATTAGCTTAATTCAAATTAACTATTTCAAATTAAGTTAACTCGAATTAACGCTATAGTGTAGACATACCCTTACAGAGTTAGGCTAACCTAAGCTGCCTTACGTCACCTGACTCACTAGTGTAGACCAAGGCTCAGGTTGGGAAACTGATCTGTCTCAAACAAAGGAATGTGCATCTGTTTAATTTGCATTTAAGCAGTAAACAGTCATCAAGCAGGAAGGGGAGACAAAGGAAACTCAAACAGGGGTGAGGAAAAAACAGCAGGGAACATCTATCCATACAGATGTTGTGCCTCCTTGTGCCCACCTGTAAGAGGACTGACATTATAAAAAGGAGGGACAAACACCCCAAGCTACCCACCTTCTCTACTCCCTGCCCATCACATTCGTAGCACCAGAAGTGACAAAAGAAGCATGTGTTGAACTGTGAGAGAAGGGATCCTGATCTAAGAAGTTTGGTCAGTAGGACTACTAAAAGCATATGGTGAGACACTGCTGGAATCTGATATAGTTTTTAAGTCAGGCACCAGTAGCATTTTTAATTTTATTTTCTTGTAATCATTTTCTGATGTTTATGCCTTATTGATTGTACTCACTTAAAATCTCTTGCTTTGTAGTTAATAAACTTGCTTAATGCATTGTGTTTAAAGTGTTTGGGAAACTCCATTGGGGTGGCTCATTATGTGCAAATTATTGCTGTTAAAGAAATAATAGACTTTATATAAATT